AATCTGGAAGGGGAAAAAGTGTGATTGTATGTGTGTTTTTAAGCTGGTTTCCCTTTTAAATGGTCTCGCCAGATGTTGCTAGCTGGAGTTTCTGCACATGGCCTGAGCTCTTCTTAAAGGTCCAGAATTACCCACTTAGTCCAATAGCAAAGCCTTGAGTATCACATGACATCAGCCCCCCCTCACTGGGAAGAGAGGCCTGAGAGGAGGTGGGGGTGAGGGTATAAGGGCCTAGGGCTGCTTTCAACCCTGTTCTGTCCTGTGGACGAAATGCCCAGGGAAGGTGAGTCTGCCCCTGACTCCCTGGGTGACTTTGGCCTCAGTTTCCCTATCTGTAAAAGGGAGACATCAGGCTTATCTATCTCACTTCCAGTGGGGACATTCTAGAATTCAAAGGTTAGGCCGGATGCAAGGGCTCAGGCCAGCACTTTGGGAGGCCGAGGCAGGCGGACTGCTTGAGCCCAGGGGTTCGAGACCAGCCTGGGCAGCATAGCGAGACCTTGTCTCTATGGGGAATCAAGAAGTTAGCCAGGTGTGGTGGCACGTGCCTGGAGTCCCAGCTGCTTGGGATGCTGATGGGGAAAGAGCACCTGAGTCTAGGAGGCTGAGGCTGCTGTGGACCATGATCCTGCCACTGCACTCCAGCCTGGGTGACAGAGTGAGACCCCAACTCAAAAAAAAAGTTATTATGGGAAGGTTTGGAGTGGGCATGTGGTTTCTAAATGGGATCAGTTAATCTTCAGTTGGTGAGAAAATTTTAAAAGACCTGTCTCATCCATCTTCGTACCTTGGGCCCAGATGCACATAATGCTTTTGGGAGCCTGACAGGTGACCAGGAACACAGAAGCTGGACGAGTGAGAGAGCAAGCCCTCCAGCCCCTCAGTGCATGACCCCTGACAGTCCCCAGCACCAGGGAAGCAACAGGGAGTAGTGGAGCCTGGGGTGCACCCCCCATCAGCATCTATTGAGTTGCTTTGGCCCCATTTCTCCTGGTCTACTGATTTTTTAGTAAAACCTCCCCAGTATTTAGTGGCTGGCCAAACCAAACACAACTGTGAGCCAGATACAGCCCAGCAGGCGTCAGGTTGTGACCCCCAGTCTCAACGACCTGGGATACTCCTCTGGACTTCTCTAGGCTGGAGAATCTAAGACCAGCATTCTGTTGCTCTGACTGACTGCCAGGAAGTTCTTGTTCCCGTCCAACTAAAACGTCTTCTGCTTTAAGTCCTTTTTATTTTTTGTGTGGGTGGAGGTATGAGTGAGAATTGGCTCCATATTAAAAAAAAAAAAAAAAAAACCCAAGCAAAAATACTTTCAGAAACTGGAAAAACAGCTCAAATGCAGTGAACCAAGAAGACAGTGGGTATCAGTAGACCCACGTTCAAGGCTGGCTCTGTCGTGTATCATCCGTGTGACCGCGAGCAAATCCCTTTGTTTCTCCGAGCCTTAGCTTGGTGCTCACTCCCTTCCGTCCCTCTCCCCCTTGCCTCTGTCCAGGGGATCATCGCCTCCTACCCAGACCGCCTCGTGAGAGCGGTTATAACAGAGCTGCTTCCTCCCAGGCAAGTGTTGGGTGTTAGGCCTGAGCCAAGCACCTGCTATGCATTAATTTTTATCTTATCATCCCAATCATTCTATGGGTCGGGTATTTTCATTCCCATTTTACAGGTCAAAAAACTGAGGCCAAGTCTCTACTGCTAGTAAATGGTAGGGCTGGGGAATGAACCACTAGCTGTCCTGTCTCTTCCTGGGCTCCCTGCACCAGGCCAGGCTCCCCTTGGGCCACCACAATGGCTTTCCTAACACAGAGATCCACTTGTGACCCTCCCCTGCTCAATGACCGTGGTGGCTCCCTACTGCCTTAGGAACTCGTTAGCCCGGCACTGTGGCCCTTCGGTCAGCTCCCAGCTCACTGTTCACTCCTGCTAAAGACACTTTATGCTCGAGCCTGGGGTTTCCCAACCGCCCATGTGCCCCCTTTGTGAGGGTCTCTCGCCATGTTCACGTACTCATTTGTTATGCGCTTGATGTTCATTATTAATTGTTATTTACTTAACATTTGTCTTTTTGTTAATTCTTTTTCAATTTAAATTTGTTTACTTATTCTTATGTGCTCATGCCGTTAAAATCACTTCCTAGTACTCATTAAGGTGGACAGCTGTACAATAAAAAATGTCCATCTAAGCTCCACCTAAAGTCCCCCTCCAGGCACCCACGGTGGGTGCCTTACTTGGGAAGTGCTGCCTGGACACACATCTCTGAGCCTCCACCCTCACTGCACCCTTCCCTAGATAGGGTGAGCTGCTGCCCACCTACCAGAACCCCGCCAACCCTGCCTCTATGCTCTTCAGCTTTTCAAGACATGCATTTCCAGGCGAGAGAGGGACCCACCAGCCATCAGACAGCCTAGAGCCCCCAGAGAAGGAACCTGGCTTCCCCATGGACTGCAAGCCCAGTGCAGGGCCCAGGGCCTCATCCAGAGCTCCGTGCACAACAGGGTGAGGGTGTGAGGGACCACCGTGCAGTAGATACTTAGACAATGTTGAATGAACTGGACTGGACTCCACCAGTGTTTCGAAGTGTGGGGTGGGGTCCCGGGTGGCCCACAAGACCATTTGGGGAGCACATGGACTCTATGTGAAACCACGGCACGAAAATGACTCCAATTCCCTTCCAGTCCTCCTGATAACACCAGGGACGAGTCTCAGGCTGGAGTCGATTTATCTTGAACACCTCTCAAGACACTTAATTATTACTCCTTCTCACAAAAAGCCCACTGTCCTCTGGCTTGAAATTGTCCACAGTCAGCCGCACCCAGTCACTGTTTACTGACAGGTTTGCCTTCTCTGAATATATATTTTATAATCACTTTCTATTTAAACAGTGAATACTGATTTTCATGGTCGTAATATATAATTTTCTGTTTAAATATATTTTAAGTCTATAAAGTAAGTTGATTTAAAGAAAAATATTGAGCAAATAATAAGTAGTAGGTTTTATACTTTTCTTGTAATATTTTATCCAGTAAGAAGATATGTAAAAGTTGTTTCAATGATACTGTCATTTGGGAAACATGGGACTGGGTAAACCCTAAACCCTTTTGCCATAAATTCTCTGACACTAGGAAGCCCCCAAACACTAGACAGCTGTTCATCAAATTACCCCACAAAAATTACAACCATGATGGGTATCATGAAGGAAGGATAAGTGGCATGCTAGAGTGAAAGTCAGGGAAATCAAGGAAGGCTCCTGAAGAGGTGATATTTGGGAGATTGGCTGGGTAAATAGGAATTCATTAGGCAGTGATCCACCCAGGAGGAACAGCATGTGCAAAGGCCTGGGGCAGTAGGGAACATGAACCCTAGGAGGCCCTGAACCAAGACCAGAGTGGCTGGAGCACAGAAGTGAGGCCAGAGGGGTAAGCTGGTGACAACCTTTACTATTTAAAGATAGAGAAGGGAGGGAAATCTCCTCATTCACACTAGAAAAGGAGTTGCTTGACCTTTGAGAGGTGCAGTCCCATGCCTGCCCCAGATCAGAGGGTCTGGAGTCAGGGAGAGGTTTCTGGATTCTGAAACTCATAACCAGGCTAGGTGTGAAATCAGGAAGGGCTTGGCAGACACTGCTTGGTGCAGGCTACATCTCTGGGGTGGCCGAGACAGCCAAGTGCAGGTTCAACACTCAGGCTGTCCTAACTTGCACTTCCTGGCCGGGTGACCTTGAGCAGCACTTGAGTTCCCAGAGCTCAGGTCCCATTGGGTGGAGATCCCAGCAGGTCAGCTCTTAGCCCTGCATGGAGCTTTGCCTATAGGGAGCCGTGAAGAGCCCCGAGAGCAACGTGTGTGTTCACCTGTCCTGCCGGTGCCTGGTTTTGCAGTATGTCTGTGGTGTGCCTGCCAGTGCAGTGCACACCCATTTTAGCAGGATGAGGAAGCAGTGGACAAGGCTTGTGAGCATGAGAGGGCACATGTGTTCAGCCTTGTGAGTCCATAGGAGTGCTCTGGTGCGCTCCACACATGTGCGTGTGGGTGAGCATGAACATGCCTCTACATAGAATTCTTCTGCGTGTGGACATGTGCATGAGTGAAAAACAAACATTCAGCATGACTGGTCACAGTCAGGGGGCTAAAGCCCTGGCCTATCTTCATAGCTCTTTTCCAAACCCCCACAGTTCCTGTGAACCCACCTGGGGCTCTTGGGCCTGCCAAGCAGGGCTGAGATTCCCTGAAAACAGACTTTCCTTTCATTCCCTGTTCCCAGATACTGGCACAAACACACCCACGTGCGCACGCACACACACACACACACACACACACACACACACACACACACACGCAATTCTCCCCAGCGTGTCCCAACCTTCTCAAGGTTCCAGTCCAGGTGTAGGGGTATGACCCTCCCTCTTCTCCTCCCCAGCTACCTCCCCACCAAACTCCCATGGGAGCACCCCTTGTGGGACAATGTGCACATCTGACTCTCCAGCTCTGAGTCTAACCCAGCGAGCCCACCCACGTTTTGGTCAGCAGTTTTCTTCTCTCCATTCTCCACCCCTAACCCTTCCTGCCTTGCACTTCCCAGCTGGGCTGAGAGAGGACTTTCATGCCCAGCCGCATCCAAGCCCCTGGAGGGACAACGTGCACATGGGACTGTCCAGCTCCAAATCTAAAATGCAAACCGCCCCAAGTTCTGCCCAAGGCCCAAGAGCTGGGATTCAAGTTCAGATCAGTGCTCTGCATTGGGGCCATTTTAAAGTTTCAGGTAGCCCAATCCACTCCATCCCTCCCACACTGGAAGAGGCCCAGAAAGGGCCCAGCCGAAAACGGGCTCCCGTGCCCCCCCCCAGGGGAGCAGTTAGCACAGACCCCCGGGGAGGCCCTGAGGGTCATCTCAGCACAGAAGGTCGGGCCCCGACGCCCGGGCTGTTCTCATAGGGAGCCGGGAGGGCGGCGCACCACCCGAAGGGGCCCAGCAGGGTGGTCCAGGCCTTGGCAGGTGTTACCATGGTGACGAGCGGCAGGCGGCAGCGGCTCCTCTCCGGGCGCCGGATCCGTGTGTCCGCGGGTCAGTCCGTCTGGCAGCCCCGGCCCGCCTAGTCCTCGAGCGGGCCTCAGCCCCGAGGAGCGGCCCGGAACAGACC